CAAGAATTTATCAAAAAGCGCTAGTAAATCTATTTTTTTTAAATAAATATATTAGTGAGTTTACAAAACAAATTATTTTTTACTGTAACCCAAATAAAATATTTGTAGATCTAATGACTCTCATTCAATTAAATTAACATAGAACCAACTAACGTAGTGGTTACAGCAGCATCCTCTAATATAGTTGCAAAATCCGAATCAATTAACTCAGTGGTAGGCTTGCTGTAATGCATTATTAAAATATTATAATAATATACATAAAAAAAACACTTTAATAACTACTGTTTTATTGTGTTAATAAGGTAAATAATAAATATTGAATATTCCATAACATAAGATGTAATCCACCGTTATTCAGGGTGGTAGCCCTCCCACCATCAAAGCAACATATTATGTCTTCAAAAGTTATTAATGCAACATATATCAGTTTTTCTTCTAAGTATGACTATACTGGATTTGGACAACGCTAACTATTCAAGATATATATAACTAAAATTTCAAGATATGCAACTGGCAATAAAATTATTAAAAGAGAAATCATTACACAAGAAAATACAATAAATGAACTAAAAATTCAAGTTGAAAAAAACCAGAACAAATTAAAAAAACGTTCAGTGACGCACTCTACTGAAAGCAAGCAACAACTTCAGCAGATATGTTCACTGATCTTAACTGTAAGTAAACACACCCAATCAAGAGATTCAAATGTCATTGTTTTTGGAATCTTAGAAATAACACATTTAATGAAAGTAAACAAGTGATGGATTTTTTTGGAGCTGTTGAATTAGAAAATAATAAAATTAGGCATATTCACAGACTAAAATCAAGTGAACTCGAAGCAACATCAAATAACTCAAACTCTAATCCAAGTATCTCAAATAAAATAGAGAAAGAGTTAGTTCTAAACACCTGCAGACATCATAACATGTGATAACTAAAAAATTTGGACAAAGTTTGAGTAAATATTAAAATATGAAGGAATAATTTAATATAACTAATGACATAAATATAAATAGAAATAAACATAAATATATAAAAGAATAATTTGATATACTTGCAATCACTTCTATTTTGTTACAAATTTAATTCTTTAAATGTTTTATTAAACAAAAAATTTATTTAGTTATAATTAAAACTGAAAAAAAGACTTGTAATGTAAACTGTAAATTGTAAACTCCCTCAAAAAATGAGTGTAAGCATTTTTGGATTTGCATCCAGATAAGAATAAAAGCTTTATTGTAAATCATTTTCGAATGGAGAACATACCAAAATCTACTATTTATAATATACTTCAAAGATAGGAGAATAATATAGGACCAGAAAGAAAAGTTGGAAGTGGTCGCAAAGTAAAAGTAAAAGATGTCTGCGAAAGAGATAAAGAGTCTTAAAAAATCGATTTATCAAAAAGATGGTATTTCACAGGTGGTCTTGCAAAACAATACCATGTATCACAACCGAACATATCCAAAATTATTCACAAAAAAACTAGTATTCATTATCTTAAAAGAATTAAAACACCTAAAAGAACACTGACTCAAAAAGCAGCTTTTCGTTCAAAGTGCCCTATTTGGTTTCGATTTTCAGGAAAAAAGTAATAACTATTGAGGATGAATCATATTTTTATTTGAGCAACACTAATATTTAAGGAAATGCTGGATTCTATTCTTCTGACATAAATACAGCATCAAATGATGTAAAGTTAAAAAGAAAAGACAAATTTGAGCCAAAATTACTTGTTTGGATTGCATTCTCAACGAAAGGAATCTCTCAGCAGTACATTGTTCCGTCGGGCCAAGCAATCAATAAAGATGTGCATATTTCAAAATGTTTTGTTAGATTAAAGAAATTCATGAAATACATCATAAAAATTACAATATTGTTTTTTGGCCTGATCTAGCTTAGTCACATTATTTGCGTAAAGTGCAAGGTTATCTAAAAGCTAAAAATATTGAATTTGTACCGAAAAAGCATAACCCTGCTAATGTATCAGAATTATGTCCAATTAAAGATTTTTTCTGAACTTAAGAGATTAGTGTATAATAAAAACTGGCCAGCTGAAAATCTAGGTAAACTTAAAAAGCGGATCGAGTTTTCAATTAAGAAAATCAAGATAGAATGTATACATTGGCTAGCTGCCGCAACATTTACAAGAGTAGACACCGTTCGTCGTCATAGAATGAAAAACTTATAATTTTTTTAAATTTTATAATTTAGATATGTTGTTATTATACTTATTAAATTGTTAAAATTGATCATTCCGTTAAAAAGTTATACAATTTCTAATTTTGTCTAGATTTTTAGTTATCACATATTACCATTAAGCAATATGAGAAAGTTTCATTCAGGAAGATAGAACTCCAGCTGAGCAAGCTGATTTTAATGCCAAGTGATCACAAATAGTCAAACGAAATGAAAAACTTAAAGATGCAGGGCTGATAGATCAGCTATTTTGGAATGTCATTCATTGCCACACTGGTAAAATTGTCTACATTGACATTACTGGATCAACCAGAAGTAAACAGTATTTTTTTAAATCAGCAACAACCGCACTGAATTGCCACTAAAGAAACACCAAGAATAGCAATAATAAAAGAAACAGAACATCAGCTGCCAGTGCAATTTAATCTACCACACCTATCAACCTTGAAAAGTAATAATAAAGGAATCTGACAATCAAGATTGAAATCAAAGTCAAAACCTAACTTCTCACAGTTATCTTCACAATCATCAACATTGAGTTCATCAATATCAGGACAACTATGTTTCTGGGCAAACAATCCATGTTCATTAAACAATTAAAAAAAAAAGTCAGAAGATGACCCACTTGGGTTTACAAAAACAGGTGTTACGCTAGGATTATCACACTGTGTTATTACTACTATATTCGCATTTCAAAGAAACAGTACCAAAACTCTCACATCCAAGTCTAATCTGGAGTCGAGCCAATTATGATGCAATCTCTACCAAAATAGTTTCAAATAACTGACATGCCATGTTTGAAGGTCATACAGTTAAAGATAATTTCAATGTACTTGTTAATATCTACAAAAATCCATTGTAGAACACATGCCATAAACTTTAAAAAAAAAGATGCACCATGGGTTACACCAAAGGCAAAAGCATTAGCAAAAGAAAAACAATAATAAAATAAATAAAAATAAATTATGGCTCAAATACATCGCTAAAGGTCGCCATACTTATGCAAATTTACAAAATGTACATAAAGATGCATGAAAAAATGTTAAAAAGTAGTAAAAGAAGCTATAATTTCATATAAAGAAGAATTAGTTTATGGATCTAAGTCTAACCCCAAAATGCAAACAACGAGTACATGAACAAATTCACAGTCTAGAAACAACAAACAATTTAACAACTACAAAAAAAGGCGAAATTTGCGCAATATTAAATTATTGTTTCCAGACAATGTTTGCAGTTGAACAAGAAGGCTCTTTGCCACTTTTTGATCTTTTCACACAAGCCTATGCCAGCTTGATGAAAATAACATTCATGAGCGTGAAGTAAAAAAAGAAAAGGTTATCTGAAAATAAAACCATGGGTTACGACAAAATACATCCATGTATACTTAAAAAGTGTGCAACATCTTTTGCAATCCCAATTACACTAATCTACAAGATATCTATATACATCCAAGGGGCGAATTAAATGACGGCGAATTGAAAATTCTGTAAAAGATTCTGGTCTTCAAATATTGTTTTTCTTGAAAACAACTTTTTCCCAGTTTTTTTTAGACAAGAAAAATTAAAAATTTAAAGACCAGAATTTTTTACAGAATTTTCAATTTGCGATCACTTAATTCGCCCCTTTCCATCTATATCTATATCCTTACAGACCAGTATCACTAACATCTATAGTCTGCAAAGTCATGGAAAGTCTCATACATGATCGTATAATGAAATTTTGCACAACACAAAATCTTATATCTAAAGCTCAACATGGTTTGTTCCTAAGTGAGGGTGTGTCACAAATCTTCTGGAAGGATGTGACATACTAACACAAGGCATGCCCCTAGGATTTCTTGTAGATGTTATTTATACAGACTTTGCCAATGCATTTGACAAAGTCTCACAAAGGCGCTTGTTACACAAACTGCAAGATTTTGGCATTAGTGACACCCTGATAAAATGGATTAAGAAATGGTAAACTGGTCGGCTACAGAGAGTATTATTAGACAGATTAAAATCTGAGTGATAATTAGCAGTATGCCACAGGACTTGGTTCTTGGTACACCATATAAAACTTCATGCTGATGATGGTAAAATTATTGGAGTCATCATTTCCTTGCAAGATGCATCCTTCTTCAAGCTGACATAGATGAAATAGTTGATTGTCACAAGCGGCTAATGCCTTTTAACACCGATAAATGCAGAGTTATGCATGTGGGACGCATTAACAAGTCAATATACTCATACACAATTAAACAGATGAAACCCATTGTACATTGAAAGAAACGATAGTTAAATGAGATCTTGGGATTATTGTTTAAAGGTCAATGACTTAAAGGTCAACCCTCAAGTCAAAACATCAGCCTCAATTGCAAATAAAACACTTAATTGTCTCAAAAAAACTTTTCGTAGCCACACACTAGTTAAATGGAAAACACTGTACCTTGGATACATTCTTTCACATCTAGATTTTGCAATACAGGTTTGGTCTTTTCACCTAAAAAAAGATATTGCGATAATAGAGAAAGTCCAAAGACGTGTAACGAAAACAATATCTGAGAAAAAACATCTACCAAATGAAAAAAGATTACAAATGCTGAAACTAACATCACTTGAGGATTGCAGGAAAAGAGTGACCTAATCCAACAGTTCAAATTTACTCACCAGATTGATGGAGTCAACTTTCATTTTCCTCAAAATAAAATAAATTCAACAACAAACTATAATCTCCTTGGACACAATCAGCAACTTTTGCCTCAATTAAGGTTGCAAGAAATTTTTTTTTACAAAGAGAGTAACAAAACATTGGAACACTCTTTCATTGGAAGCAGTTGACTCACCTTCTGAACATTTCTTTAAAAAAATTATATCATAGCTGCTTTGTGTGGCTAATCTGTGTCAACATAGAGGAGCCTGATGTAGCTCTTCTTCATTGATGTAGCTCTTTTTCATTGGTTTTTAGAATACATTTACACTACAATATGTACATTTTGTATTCTTCAATATAAACATTTTAGGACATGGGTTATTTAATGTATACTTATATTTATATGGACTTTATACTAATTTTGAAATAAATAAAATTAAAAAAATAAAATATTTATAATATATGTAAGTTTTAAAAATTGTTAACTTTTGCATTTGCACAAAATTTTCTAAAAAGATATAAAAGTCTAACAAAAGATATAACAGTCTTATAAAAGATATAATAGTCTTACAATAACTTTGTGGAAAGAAATAGTTTGGTAATGCTCGTTTGTATCTATCAAACTACTTTGGTCTTTTGCATCTATAAAATTAATAAATTTTAATAATATCTTGTTAATTAAAAAAAACAACTCATAAGTAGTTAAATTTTTATAATTTTAACAATAATTATTCTCCAACTTTAATATATTTTAATATATAAATAAAATATATTTCTATAAAAAAACATGAACTAAGTATATAAAAATAATATTTAAAAGGTCTTACTAAATATTTGAATTCCAACCACAGAAGACGTTATCTTATGGTTACCGTGACAAGGAAAAAAAGTATTATCTGTAAACGTTATTATAGAAAGCTGCACAGTTTTCATAGCAAAGCTAATTGAAACAACTGCATTCTATAAAAACCAATCAGTTGAACCAAATGAAAAAATAGCATTTAATTAGTTGAATCGGATTAAAAAATCAAAAAGCAGGAGAATATTATAAAAATTAAAAAAGCAAAACAAATTTAAAAAAAAACCTTTTCTATAGAGCTGTTTTTTTCTATTGCACAAACTATTTTATTTGATTTTCCTTTGATCTTAGGAATGTTTGAGCTTATAACATAACACTGTACGAATTTTTCTGTATTCACTTTATATGACAGAGCAGCTAATATGGGATGATTTTCGATAGAAAAAGACCACGATTTTTTGGAAGATTCTTCATACAGGAATGTCTCAAGAAGTTGCTGAAATCTAAAAAAAAATTTTTAACTTAAAGCTTCAATAATTTACAATCCTTGAAAGAAAATGTTAAAGTCATAACTAACTGTCTATATTTTATTTATTGACTTTAAACCTAATAGTAAATGCTTTTAAATATTCTTTAAATCCAACCCCCCCCCATTCTTTTATTCCTGGCACCGCTTCGCGATAAGGAGGCACACTGGTATCTTTTCTACATTAGTTCGTAACTGTTACTTTTAAACATAACATCTCTCCTATCATTTTATAACTTTCTTATTTGGCAGAGTTTAAAATAGCGTAAGTTACAGTTAAAATTTACAGCTTAAGTTATAATTTAAAGTTTAAGTTGCAACACCCCTGTGGGAGGTAACTGATTCAATTCTGTGATGTTCTATTGGTTGGGTATTTCCAAGTGAAAAGAATAATCAAGATACTATTTATGAGAAAAGCAACACACTTAATAAATCTAGCTTTTCCTATGGAATATTTACTCTTCATGCATAGAGCAGATGTATGGAGTCTCTTCTCCACATCTCATACAGAACAGGTTTTGAGAAATGGCAAAGTAGGGGATATGAAAAAAAATTGATGATGAAGCAGAAGAAAATATTGGTTCAGCGAGGATTAAAGGAGAAGATTGGTTTGGTTTTCAGGCTATTTTAAAAAAAAAAATCTAACCTTTTCTTACGATTTTTATAATTTAAGCTAAATGATATATGATTAGTGAAGACAATGAGTTAGTGAATGAAATTATTAACTATATTATACTAGATTTAACTAAGTTGACAGGCTTTAAATTTCATGAAATAATATTTTAGACTTTGAAAGATATAACCAAATAAATTTTAAACCCTCCCCAAAGTGAAGGGGTTGTAAATTTTACATGGTCATAACTTTTTATCTCTGAAAGATTATTTCGTGAGATTTAAAACCTGCTAATTTAGTTACATTAACTATAAAATTATAACAAAAATTAAGTTGTTAACTCTTAAAGTTAATTGCCCTCACTTTTGGGGTAAGGAGGATATTTTTTTAGTATTTTCGTTCACAGGCTCTAATGACTGAAATCTTTAGCAAAACATTATCATTTGACATAACCATAAACATACTTGTGTTTGGAGTTTGTACTAAGTCTCAAAGTGTCAAATCTGCAAAACCAAAAAATAAAAATTGCCCCACTAAACAGCCTGTCATTCAACGTGGTCAAAACCTAACTTTGATGTCAGAAATGGATTCCCTGACCCCAAAAACATATGATCAGATCTCTAATACAATTATATTTAGAGGTTTTCTATTTTTGCTGATTTTTGTTATATTTAGGCCTACTGTGGGTGATATATATATATATATATATATATATATATATATATATATATATATATATATATATATATATATATATATATATATATATATATATATATATATATATATATATAAATGATTACAATTGTAATTAAATATTACTACAGGTGACAAGCAAATAGAAACAACATGTTTTACTGAAATAATGTAGAAATCACAGAGATAAAATTTTACACTTTAAAAATTTATTAGATAAACGTTTAATTTTAACTAAAAACTTTAAAGTTTTTGAGATGCACCTGGTAACTGTAGATTTGATATATACCTGTTAATTGTAGATTTGGGGCTAATGACTGTAGTTATTATTATTAATTAAAATAAAAAAATTTAAAAGTTAAAAACCAATTTTTTAAAATGTTTACAAATTGTCCGTTTTTTAGCAACTGCTTAGATTATCCTATGTCCTATTTTATAATTTTTTTGATTATTTAATTTAAGGTAAACAGATTCTATCTGGGATAAACAGATTCTATCTGTTGACCAGCCTCGCACACTTTCTTCATCTATTAGGCTGGCGCAGATATATTTTTAATACATTGTTTCCAGTTTAGGATGGTGAACGCTGGATCTTCTTGACTCAATGCATGGGTTTTGCTTGTGTCTCTGTTTTTATGACTAGGCCACTCATTCTATTATCTCCAAATGAGGCTATTCTATTATCTCCAAATGAGGCCTTCTCTACTCGATTTATGTCTTGTTTCTGATCCTAGTCAGTGCTCAGTTTCTCCACACTCACCCTTAGGTGCTTCTGATCATGGTTTGGTCTCTCGAAAACTATTATCTCATTCTTCTTTACCATCAGAATCCCCCTATCATCGTATATCTTACAACTACCTTAAAGCTGACTGGGACTCTTTCTGTGATTTTCTTCGTGATGGCCCCTTGGTAGAAATCTTTCGTCTTCCTGTTGACAAATGTGCTTCTTACATAACTTCGTGGATTCAGGCTGGCATGGAATCCTTTATTCCCTTTCGACGATTCCAGGTCAAACCTCACTCATCTCCATGGTTTTCCTCACATTGTGCTGCTGCAATTGCCAATCGAAACCATTACTTCCATATTTATCAGCAAAACAATTCTCCAGAAACAGAGGTCTGTTTATTACTGCTAGGAACCATTGTAAATGGGTTTTGTCTAACGCCAAAGCTCGCTATTCTCAGACCATGAAATCTCGTATTTCATTACAAAAATTAGGCTCTCGTGACTTCTGCAGAATCTTTAATAGTATCAATAATAAGGGCAAGTCTGTAATTCCACCTTTTTTGTATGGTTCAGACTTTGTCACCTCACCTAAAGACAAAGCTGAATTGTTTGCCAAGAACTTTTCATCAATATCATCTCTTGATTCCACTAGTTGCGTTCTACCTGATATAGCCGTCAAACAGGTTGATCCATTGCTCGACATTCGTATCACTCCAGCTTCTGTATCTAAAGTAATTTCCTGCTTAGACTCTTCTACAGCTTGCGGCCCGGATAACATACCCGTTATAGTCTTGCAGAAGTGTTCTCCAGAGCTGTCGTCTATCCTTTCAAAACTATTTAACAAGTGCTTATCAGAGTCTTGTTTTCCAGCCTGCTGGAAAGCAGCATCTGTTATCCCTATTTATAAAAATTCTGGAGAGCGATCCGATTCGTCTATTTATTCGTCTTATTCTGTAACCTCAGGGGTTCCTCAAGGTTCAATCCTTGGCCCTATACTCTTTTTAATATACATTAACGATCTTTCAGATATTCTCACATCTAAGGTGGCATTGTTTGCTGATGATAATACAATTTATTCTTGCCATGATAAGAAGCCAACTCCGGCTGTTTGCTTGCAGGGGGCATCTGAGCATCTCAAAACCGGCCTTGTATGGAATACTGTTGCCATATCTGGGGTGGATCTTCTAATGATGCCGTTTCTCGTTTTGACAAGGTGCAAAAACGCATTGTAAACAAAGTTGGACCTGCTTTTGCAGCCAACCTTCAACCTCTGTCACATGTTGCTTCTCTTTCTCTTTTCTACAAATACTATAATGGGCACTGCTCTTAAGAGCTACCGTCTCTTGTGCCATCTACTAAAACTCATTCTCGTGTTACTGGTCATTCAATTAAGTCTTATCTTTTTTCTGTTACCATTCCTAAGTGCTCCAAAAACTTATTTGCCTAGTTTTTTTCCTCGAACATCAGTTCTTTGGAATTCACTTTCTTCCTTCATCTTGCTTTCCTGATTCATATAATTTGCAATCTTTTAAGTCGTCTGTCAATCGTTATCTTGCTCTAGAATCTTCATCTTTTCTCTCCCAGTAACTTCCAACACTAATTAGTGGTTGCTTGCAGCCTTGTTGGAAGCGAAGATGTTAGAAAAAAAATTATGTTTTGTAAAAGTTTATGATATACGCATGAATTTGCAACTAAGACATTCCACATTTTTATTTGCAATGAATCTGGTCTTCAAGGCTGTGATCAAGATGTGATTAAGGCAAGTTTATGGTAGTGTGTCTAAAACGTTTAAAAAGGCCTAAGAAAATTT